TCTCGCAGCAGAGTGGCCGTGACATGACATGGAGATTAATAAGACACTGAACATGAGCACAATAAGTCGCCTCTACCGTAAACAAAACCTAATATCTGCTTTTTTATCTCAATATCACTTAAACGACGATGTTCGACGATTGGTTCTTCAACAAACCTATCCCCCACCCCCCTGATTGATTAGTAAACTAATTCAGAGTCGTGACACTGGGTATCATTATCACATCACCAGGATTTTTATAAGTTGATCTACTGAAACCGTTTTAGGCCAATTCAGTTTAGCAGAGTATCTGTAATTTTTCAGCAAACTCACCAAAGTCTTTGGTTTTTTCTCTCCAGTTCGTCTCCTTTCCTCTTTACGAGTTGAAACTTCCTTTTCCCCATCGCAGGAGTCTACAGATTGACGGTTGTTCGCGAGGGAGAGCCGATCAGGCTTGGAAGAAGCAGTAGTCGTCTGGCAATGTCCAACTTTTGGTTCGTCATTTCCTCTCTCGTGTTTCTCTTTCATTTTCAGAGGCGAAGATTTAAACGTCTTGTTGCAAGAGGTGAGGTAGGTGAGCTTGGTGGTATTTGAACGCGTTTTCTTCTTCTGTACCCGAGGAGCACGGCTGGCTCCTTTTACAGCCACTAGTGTGGGTATTTTGGTTGGTGCATTTACCCACTCTGGTGCACAAATGGCGTGCTGCTGTAGGTGGTTGCCCGGTGTTGCAGGCACTTCACTGTAGACAGCTGATAATTGAGCAACCTCAGGAACTTCAGGGATAGACCGGCAGCTGCTGGTGTTATTAATAAGCTGCGACAGGAACTCGATTGGGCTTTGGTCTTGGGAGGGAGCAAGTCTTATCACAAGAACTGTTTTGGGACAGACGATGGTACTTGGGACTAGCTCGATGACACTCTGCGCTATCAGACTTGTTAGGAAATCCGTTTTCTTAAACATGTTCACAGTGGCAGTTATTTTGTTGGCGCCGTCTAAAACAGATCTGGCTCTATCTGAATTAGGTGGTTTTGGTGACACCAGGACTCCCTGTGTTACGTTATAACTGTGAGGCAGCACTGCAACCGTCTTTCGTTCCATTGGTCGATCATTAGTGTCGAGTTCTCTGATGGTCGCTCCTCCAGACGATGGTCCAGGCCACTGGAAGTACTTAAGCAGTTCAAAGTACCCCCAGTAATAATATCTAAGGTGTTGATACATCCACTCGCCCACGCTGTACCCTAAATCGAGTTCCTGGTTTGCTCGGTCAAGTTCTTGTTCCTTTTGCTGAAGTTCCTGGGTGCTCTGATCAAGCTTATCTAACAGTGAAGTGCACTGGGCTTTCAGCTTGAGATTTCTTTTCTTCTCACCACTTAGTTCTCTAACGGCGTTCTTATGCCTCCACTTGATGTCATATTGCGATTCCTTGAGCCGCGCTAACTCTTTCTTCAATTCATTTTCTGTAAAATTTCTCGTTGTTTCGAGATCCTTGAGGTTCTTTTGAGATTTTTCCAACTCCTCTCTCTGGATATCATTATCCTCTTCCAGCCACTGTCGCTCTGATTGCAGGTTGTTAATCATTTCAGCGTGTTGCGCAATAGTAGCTGCTTGTTGGTTTACAATTGCCACCAGCTGTTCATAACTGTAGACAAACATCTGTGCCATCTTAAAAAATCTTTTCTAAGAAAAAAATCACTTCACCGCTCTATATAATCTTCCGTTAAATTTCGATCACGTTTTTCTTCTTCGAAAAGTGAGCTTTTAAAATTTAGTGATGTCATAAACAATTACCCTTACTTGTTAATTTCTTTTGCGCGCGCACTGGCGTTTCTAGAGCTGCGATACTAATGGTCAGCACCCAAGCATTTGTGGTCTTGGCCTTGTGATGACTGGTCGAGTAGCTGGGTCAGTATTGTTTAATCTCTTTTCAATATTCTCGCCTTTTGTTCTTCACAATAGCTTGCCAGAAATCTTCATCTCGAGCGAGTTGGCGACACGAGAGATAACGCGCGAGGGAGTGATAAATCCAGAAATAGTCCACGCTCCATATATTAAAATGCTAACTTGACTCCGAGGTTTTAAGGTCAAAACTGCATATATTTCACAACTCCATTGTCTCGCAATTCCCAGAAGAGACTAGAATACAAAGAAAATCGAACCAAACATACAAAAATAACCAGAAAGCCTCGGAGTCATAGAATGTTAATATATCGAACGAGGGCTATTCTCGTGTTACTCGCGCGTTACTATACGCGGTATATGTTTCGTGGAAATTATTCGACATTAGATTCTCATACAAACACTGTAATTTCTCATGCGGTTGCCTACTTGTCAAGATGGCTTCAAAACCTTGACAAGGCTTATTCAAAGCTACTTAAAGCTACTCGTTGAAGGACTAACTCGAGTTGAAACAAGGACTTGTAGTATGTACGACATAAACATAGTCTTGTATGTATTTTATTAATGAAAGTATCATTATTTTCACTTATTTACAGCATGAGTTATTCTTATATAATTCTTTATATTTTGGTAAATTTTTAATTATATGTACTAGATTCATTTTGATTTTTATCTAAATCACATTTCTTTCAATTTTTTATATTTGATAGTATTTTTCAGTCTTGTAGCGAGCCAGTTATTTTACAAACTATTTACATGTCGTTTAGGACGTTTTCAACCTTTCAATAAATAACTTACTATTAGGAAAACCTGTCCTGTCCACACAACCCGTCCTAATTGATTTTGAAATAATTTTGATACAAAACTACTGTTATTTCCGATCCCGTTGTTTGAGTGTTGTTATTACGTACGCAAATTTTAATAAAAACAAAATCAAGAAACATTAGTGAAACAAGCTTCCTCGTGGCCCGGATGCCAGAAGTATTTCCGGTTGTCGCTTCTCTCCCTCCTGATAAGTTACTTTGACATGCGATAGCGCTCGGAAATACATCTGCGTTCGTGGGCTAACTTCTTGGTTATCAACCAGCTTTGAATTTCTGGCCCTGGTTTCAAATCGGCCGCTTCAAAGGATAAGAAAGGGCCGTTAACTTATTTTACACAGAAGTTCCCCTCAAAGGTCATCATCATTTTTTTAAGTACATCATAAGTAAATCTTTAAAATTGAATGTTGCAAACTTCAACCGATTCCAAGTGACTATCCCATCACTTACGGTAATCCAGTCAATCAAAAATATGGTTCTCCTTATAATCCTTGTATTTAACGTTTGAAACTGAGAAATTGCCATATTTGGCGACTGCTAGTGTAGATATTAAAGTCGAGGATCTATTAAATACTTTAAACTAATTAAAAAACAAGTTTTTAAAGGACGGGAATATAAAAATGTGGCTATAAACCTCTAGAAAAGTTTTGCCCTTATTTAGATTGCTGAAATTGCCACATGATTGAGATACTCTCCACTGGCACAATAATATTTGAAAAATTCCTAAATTTGTAGAAAATGTTTCTGGTAAAGAACAGTTTTATTCAAATTTAATTTCCTCCTTTTTAATTTCTTTTATTCAATTGTTCATTCCATTCGTAATAATTTGTTCTCCTGTTGCATTAACTCTTGTCAAGCCTCTCTTGCTCTTGTCCAATGTGACCTTGTCCGCACTTAAGCCAGGTTTTCATATGTCAGGAAAATCCCTGACGATCGGGAATTTTACCATTTGCCGACCGTCCCAGATTTTCCTGACTAATGAAAACTCGAAATCGTAGATATTCCCGATCGTCTGGGATGATCGGGGACAAATCTGGAAAATCGGGAGCGTTTCTATCGGGGCGGTCCACGTATGTGCGATGAAAAGGCTAAACCGCGATACTTTGCCTTCAGAATAAAGAGAAAACGTACGACGTCACCTACCATAGTAAGAAAATTTCTAGCTGTCAACAATCTGTCAACAGAGGCGGCCATTTACGTTAACGAACGCTTGAAGGAAAGTATGGGCTACGGTTCATATCTTGGCTGCAATCATGCTCACGCCAGGAAAGTCATAAATGGCAATTTTTTCGTTTTTTTTTTCCGCCATATTTGCAGGACTACGATTTGTTTAGTCTCCTTCGCAGCCTTGGCTCGTCACGCAACGCGTGAACATTGCGTGACGAGCCTAAAAACGGCTGCGAAGGAGACTAATCTACGGTTTGTTGAGATCCAGAAATTTTGCTACCATAGCAAGGTGACGTAACGACGTCTCCTCTCCTCTGACAGAGAACGCATTTAAGAAGCGTGACTTGGTGCTATATTTGTTGTGGCCATGCGATTTAAAGTTGACTAGTGCGGAGGGTAGGTAAGGTTTTCCAATAGAATGCTCCTCGCTCCCAAATTCGTTATTATTGCAGAAACTATGGGCTATGAGGGGAATGACTACAGTCTTTTGGCGCAACGATTTTTGGAATCTTCTGGGTGGACAAGTATTACTTATGATTGGTTAATGGTCGTCTTAAACACCATCGACCAATCATAACTAACGCTTGTCCACACAAACCATCCCAGAATCCACTGTACCCAAAGCTTGTACCCATTCTCTCTAGAGTATCTGAAGTGGGCAATTTCGTGTCGTCATCTTTACCCTTGGTGCTTGTTCTAAGGTGCTATATTTTCGGTTTGTAACCAAGCTGGCAGGCACTGACAAGAAAAGGGATGAGGCGCCATTGACGCGCGAATAGGCTAGGTGACTCCACCAGTTCTTGCATTAAGGTCTGCTTTATCCATAATCTGTTTCCTTTTCCTAGCACTTAGCAATCTTGTAGAGACATCTTCAAGTTTTCACCTTGTTCACCGACCTCTTTGCGTGTTTGGAAGGTACTTTTGCTTGGTTTCTTGAGCTGGCCACATTTTTAGGTCATCGCGGATAATGCTGACGATTTTTTTCTTTTCCGGGATAATCCTATCCACTTTCAGGTCACGGATCACCTTTTCCAAGCATTACCTTGGAATTATTGCTCTCCACGTTTTATTTGCTACCTGTTTATCGTATGACGAGTCGTTTGGGTCATTTCTAAGTTCTCCTCTCTCGATGACCCCTTAGAATGACCGGCAAAAACCATTTAAAGTCACAGCGCCCTTGTCGATCACTTCAACGGGTGGAAGTTCATTTTGCAGAGTGTGTTCTTCATTTGTTGGTTCAAAGCTGCTATTGAAAGGTAGTTTTTGTTCTTCAACCTCCAGTGAAGGTTCTTCCCTTGGATTTAAATGTTCGTGTTCTGTTGGAACAGGGGAGGTCGCTGGTGAAGCGCGAGGTGTTGGAAGAGGGGTGATTTGTACTTGAACCACCTATAACCCATGGAGCAAAAAATTATGGTTAGAAACATTCAACAGGTTTTGACTTAAATTTACCTTCGGGCCCGAAAATGTACCAGGCCTTTCGAGAAATTGACCCCTAAGAAATTGCTGCATTTGAACAGATTGGGGAACAATTTTACGATAAGTCTAATTAACCTCTCGGTAGTGCGGGTTGAAGCCTTCTAAGCAAAATATCTTGTTTCGTTGACTAAGTCGGTTCTATTGTATTGGTTTTCGGGCCCGATTGACACACTTTGGAAAAACGGGCACCAAAGATTTACTTCTTTTAATTCAATTTTAAAAACGCACTTGTCGTCGCTGTTAAAGCCTATGGATAGAGCAGATAATATTTCACCCCACTCTGAGTGTGTTTTGTCAAAAACATCAACAAAAAATTTCGCGCCTCTCAGATGCGAACAAGGTTGCAAAAACGAAAAAATGGCGATGACAAAATTTTCAAATTTTTCGCAAACGCCAAACCCCATCTTAATACTAGGTCTCACCAGGCCAGTCATGCGCAGAACGCAGGTTTACCCCTGATGTAATGTAGTTTAGCGGTTTTAGTGAAAACAAGGGTTTGGGGGCTGCTCAGTCTCGGGGCACATAACCTCAGTCATTGTTATTTAGGGATTTTCTGTACTGCAATCTCGTTCCCAGAGGCTGTGATCTTTTGGTCAGTGATCCTCGTCGCTGACCAAAATGATCGCGGCCCTTGAAACGAGATTGGATGTATTGCTGGTCGCAGGTTATTATTGTGCATGCGTGAAGACCATCAAGACAACAGCTGAGAAAAGAAAACGTCATAAATTAAAATAACCACTCGGGAAAATCTCTAAAAATATACGTGACCGAGTCGCAAATGTGAAACTCTATATCAGACCAGTCCTTGGCCTCTAACATACACGCGCATTAAACAAATGACGGCCATTTAACTTTTCCATGAAATACATGTAACGTTCAGCGTAATTATTTTAAAATTTACGGGCTGTCCAACTCAAAAGCCCAGTATGCGATTATCAGTTCCTTAAAAAAAAGATGACCTACGTATTTAGCATACAAGTTTTCGCTTCGGCCAGCGCAAGTTCTTCGTTTTTCTCCAACCAATGCAACGGCAGTTTCGCAGATACAGCGAAAACCATCATTAAAAAATAACAATAAATAAACTTCAAGATTATGGGAAAAGGTGGACTATTGTTATCAAGAATTATTTAGTAGAGAACTTAAGCGACGCACTGAATATTGATGCGAGATCAGCTTATTGTAATTTCTAAGCATTTCTGACTTAAATACACTGGCTTGCAGGTGCTCCTATTGAAAAACTGACATGCTTATGTTTAATTCTGCAGCGTCTTTGTTTTCGATGGAACCACACTTATCGGCATAAAATAATATTTTACCACAACACTAGATGTGAGATTTCACAAAAAGAAAAAAATTACTACATTTTCTGTTAGATTGTGAGTGTTGTCCCAACCTTAGTTGAGTATAAAATTCTCGTAAAGCTTATTTTTGACATGCATGGGCAATATCAAAAAGCTTCCAGTTCATTCGAAAATTAAAAGAATACATTATACATATTTTTTAATTTTAAGAATGTCATAACGCGCAAAGAAACAAGTTCAAACTTCTCCTTTTTAATAACAACAGATCTTCGTCGTATTCGGAGCAAAAAACACATGCAAGTCATTAAAGCTTGTCTTTAGAACTCCATTAGTTAATCCTAATCGACTTAAAAAAACTGTGGCTTTTTCAAATTCAATAGGCGTGTTTCCCTTAGCAATAACTCAAAGCAGATAGGAAAATCCAAGCCAGAACTTTGAGACCTTACAGTAGCCTTAGGTTAAGAATAACATGTGTTAACACATTACCTTCAAACGGACTTTTTTTTTGATAAAAATTTAGCGGCGAATCCATCGAGTCCTATTAATCTTAAATTATTAACTAAGTAAAACTTGTGCAGTACCTACCAGCTCGTTTCTGCTTCCTGTCTTCTCTGTTAATGTGTTTCTTCGGGTGTTACTATTACTCGGCGCAAGTTCACGTTCTATTTCATCGTGACTATCGCTCTTGTTGTCGAACGAGGACATTCTAGAGTGTCTCCGCTCTTCTTTGTCGGGTAAATCACAGGCGCTGTCCGACACCATGGGTACGACTTTGTTGTTGAACATTAATTTAGGCTTGTTAGAACCTTCTGTCAATTCGTTTGCGCTATTCGTACGATCACAAAGGGTGCTATTTTTATTCAAGTGTAGTATAGGCGTCGGCCCTTGAAAATCCATTTTATCCGCAGACTGGCTGCGATCTCGATTAGAGCTTGGGTCTATTGCACAAGGCGTGGATGAGTTCGTTTTCGGAGGTCGCTGATGTTGTTGTCGCTGCCGAGCATCATCGCTGGACGGGGATGGACCCATTTTATAGCCCAGTTTTCGCATAGCTTTAGAGTTAAGATTTGCATATTGTATTGCTTTTAGAGATTCCAACGGATCTGGCATAGCCATATTCTTCGTTTTTTCTTCGATAACGCCGCTAATTGAAACTATAACACCTGACATTACCGCTAGTCCCACCACCATGTATATTAAGTTGAGGAACTCTAAAACTACAGGAATTGCGCTGTCACCACTAGAATAGTCTTTTTTCACATTTCCGGTCACAAAATCGCCAAACCCTATTGTTGTAAGAGTTACAAAGCAAAAATAGATGGCTTCAAAGTAGGTCCATTCTTCTAAACGGTGAAAACCAATTGCTGGAAAGACGACAATAGCTATGAGTAAAATAAAAGCAATGATTGCAGTCTTGATTTCAAGTTTCTCTGCTTCCCTGTTGTATACTCTCCTCTCGAAGTTTTTTACAGCAATTCTAATTTCCTCGGAGATACTGTTTCCAACAGAACGAAGGGTTAATCCAGTTAAAGGAATTCCGAACAAGGCGTAAAATATACAAAAAGAAGGGCCCCAGAATGAAGCTGGTACAATATGTCCATAACCTGCGGAAAGAAACACATACAAAACCAAGCGTTACCAAGAAATAGAACATCAAGTGTTTACTGCACGACAAATCATATTTTCTACTCAAGCCATCCGTGGGCACCTTATTGTTGCTAATTTGTCGTAAGGATTTTTATAACCTTTTTTGCCCGGCTTTTTTGTCAAAAACGCGAGTAATTTATTATTGGAAGATGCGACTGTTGACTTTTCTACCATGATCACTCACCACGCGAGATGTCATAAAGCTGCGTTAAGCTCCTTCAAATATTTGTATGGAATCGACGTAAAGTTAAATACAAGTCCATTTTAAAGCCGACGAGTCTGTTATTAATTTGTTCAAACTATAAGCTCGTGTTTTGTCATCGCAATTTTTTCGCAAATACAACCATGATAAAAACTTAGTTGTCTGAGCACACTTCACGTTACCAGTACAACTGCTAGCTAGAACTAAGACACGGTTTCTTATCGTGGCCAAATTTCTTATTTGCTGATTATTATAAATTAGCATGGCAGCCTAGAAATACTTAACCCTGGCCTATCTTGTTTGTCTAAAACATTTGAGGGCTTTGTTGTGGCAAACTACCACATCGCGTCTTGTGGCAAGGTTGCGCCAGGCGGGTCAAATAAAAACAAGGACATCAAAAATATAAACTTTACACGTAGCTAAATATATGCACAATAAACCCCTTTTAGGCAAATGGCTGGAATATTTCATAAAGTCCGCCGCAAGCAAGATTTTTCCGTCTCCTTGTCAATGATTGACCTTTGAATAGTCTAGTAATTTGTTTCTTCGTTTTTTATCTCTTAGCGTACGTTTTTTTTACTACAAGTCGCGAGTGCGTAATGCGTAATGATATAACCATGCATATACACGATTACGCCGAGAGGAAATTGTGAACATCCGAGAAGACTAAAAAGGTCTGGCTTATGAGCTCGTGTTCCGCGTCGTAGCCAAATATTAAAGAATGGAATACGAGGGTGAAAAATTAAAATATTGGAAGACAAAAGATGGTTCTTAAGTTCTCTTGAGATGTTTATGCGCAGTCGACCAATTGTGGCATATTCAATTCCATTTTGTGAGGTGAATAAAAACCCTAATAGCTAGTGTAAAAGAGACCACAGTTAAAAGCTACAACAAGTTAAAACTTTTTCTTTGCCATGTTCGTACAAGCTTTTTGGAAGAGGCTTTTTGTTTGCCGCGTTTAAAGCCCAAAAATTTAAATATTAAACAACCATAACACACAGCTGCTTGCCCAGCGTTATAGCCAAAATCGACCGAATAGTATGAAATCGACCATATGATGCCGACGCTACTCCCTAAAAATTGTAGCTGTTCCCAATTGACGAATATTCGTTTCTTCTTGTAAACAATGCAATCAAACAACCCAGTACTTAACTAACCGCCGATTTTGGCTAAATTGCAAGTGATATGTGGTGAATAATCTACGTCTCTCTCACTCCGTATGTTGCTAAGGCAGATTAACGCTTAGCACGTTTTAAGCCAACTTTAGGGGGAGCGTGAAAATGCGCGCTTAACGAAGATCATTTATCCCAACAAAGTTGTAGCCCATGATCTCACTCACCAATGGTCGTCACTACATTTCCAGCGAAAACGAAGGCGTTCATAAAATGCCACTGTTCCTGAAACTTCACAGTCTGCAAGTCGAAGCCAAGCTCTAATGCCTTCTTGAGCTTGCCAAGGAACTCTTTCATATCATGGTCTGAAATATTGGTGTTAACCGCGAAATTTTCTCTGACCTTGTCGAACTGAAGCTCTTCTCGTTTGTCCTTTTCATACTGAATTTCGATTGCTTGGAAAATGGCAGCTCAACAAGAAGGTAGACGAAAATAACACAATCCGTATAATCAACTTCTTTGTGTTAAGACTTAATGCCATAATTAAGCCAAAGTAACATAGGGAAAGAAAGTTAGTTCAGCCATAGATGCGATTTTCCATAGCGGTTTTGTTATCACTGGCTGGCCGCGTGTACCAATAGCGACCCAAGCGCCCCGAACGAAAACATATCACTGAAAATTAAGCGACACTAGATCTCTCTGTCTAAGGCTCGGTTGTTTGGTTGGTAGGCTTGACAATATGTCTTGAATTGCATGGTACGTTACGAGAATCAACACCTGTTCAACAGGGCATGCGCAAAGGGTGTCTTTCATAGACCTTTTCCTGTAGACCTTCTTGGATCTTCATTAAAGTTGCTTCGCTAATTACAGCACGTTTAGCAGCCTAACCGTTTAATCAAACGCTCTTCCGCGAGACCCTGTACACTTAAACTCGCTTCATTCTCTTATCTTTGTGCGTATTAAAGAATATTTTTGAGAGAAATAGATCGTTTAAAGGGAGGAACCTTTCCAATCGTTTTCTCATGAAAATTGTGTTTATCAAAAGCCTTTGTGACGTCAGTTCCATTTTGTTATGAATATTACACCAAGGACGGTGGATCTCGATAGAACATTTTTCATGTTTCCGTTGTGAGACTCGCTCTCTCTTATCACAACGAACTTTGCATAACAAACGGCGATAAACCGGCAAGCATATCTCGCTCGCCCTCTTGGGCGGGATACAGAAATAGCGGGAGATTTGGGCGAAAAGTTTTGTCTAAATGCACAATGGAAAATTAATTTTCGTTGAAAAAATGGGCAAACGGTAGTACATGTTTTGGGCAATGACTTTTTGGATTGCCATCAGTCTGTCGTTCATAATGGCTTGCCTTCATCGCAAGCTGAAGCTGAGCAATAAAGAAGGAATTAGCGAGATAAACCGTCACCGCATGTGTTTCTTTTCTATTAATTGAAATTCAGGGAGTTTCCCAGTGAAAATAATATCAGGGGAAAGGAACGTTGTGTTTACAATACGCTTGAGATAAATGAAATGAGTTCACATGCTTGCTTTAAACGGCGGAGACTGAATGAATAGTAATGACGTTAAGAGAGTCAGTCAAACGATTCAAGAGTAAGACAGCATCGACGGAAAGTGAGAAGTGGCTTACATAATTTATATTCTTCGAATGTTTTTTAACAATTCGCTGCTTATGACTCCAACATGGCAATTGTCGTTTCACAAACTCAGGGTGTGTCCTTCACCGCAATAATCGTCGCCATCTATTCACTATATTCAAACTGTAAACCTACAGCACTTGTATTTTGCTAGACATCTCTCAGACGAATGAAGACGTTGCCATGATTAAAAAAATTGTGTGCGCTTTCTAATGCTTCTGAAAAAGCGGCACCTTTTTTTCTTTGCGAGAACCACTTTGCAACAACAACATCCTAAGGTTACCATGGCAAACTAACGCAAACGATGTAATTTTGTTTTCCAATAAATGGTGGCAGCCAACATGTCAACTTCAAATTGATCTGATAAAATGTTATTACCAGCTGTGGTAAATTAAACATGCAAATCATTTAATGTTCGTTCATTTCTATTCAGGGCAGTGTAACTTATATATTTCTTTCAAGAATTAGCAGAAAAAAGAATATCTTGGCAATTTTTTTGGCTTCTTTGTGAGAGTAAACATTACTTATAAATTTTTTTCGTTCCTGTTTTTTTCGACAGGAGTATAAATTTACAAACATTCTAAATTACAATTTTAAATTCCAAGTTGCTGTGAAGCAGTCATTCTCAGCCTTGTAGTAATAGAGTGAGAAAAGTGTAGTAATTAACGCTCCAATATGTTTATCACTTGCAATGACTGAATAGTTCAATCTACAAATAAAAACTCAGTTCAATTCTTCTTATCCAAGTGCGACCGTGCTGCTCCAAAATCGTCATAATGGCGGTTTAATGTGATAATTAATAAGAAACTGACTGAGAGAAAAATCATATGGAGTTGCAGGGCTTTTAGAGCTTGTCAACAAAAAGCAACCAGTTAGGTTCTCTATGTCGTTAACGACCTCTTCGTCCCTTCATAACGCCATGTCCAAATTTTGGGTAAATTTTAGAATTGTCGTTGCCGTGTCAATAATATTGATCAGAAGTAAAAAAACGTGGGACTTATTTTATTGCCTACTTATATATATGCAACTTATATGCGATCGATTACTTATTTCTCAGAAATAAGAGCAAAAATTACAATCTCTGCTGTATAGGTGTTTAGAAACTTAAAGCAGTGTTTCTCTAATTTGCGGAACTAAACTGGTTTTCTCTTAACATGTTTTCGATTATATATTTCCCTTTATTAGCTTCTTTAAATAACAAATTAATAAATGCAAAGAAACCGTAAAGCATCAAAAACTATGACTAACATTAAAAGCACCGTAAAACTGAGCAAGGAGTTTGATGGGGAAAAAACAAACTATTGCTAAAATCGAAACCTCAGGAACAGGAAACTTACTTAAAACTTACTTAAAACAGGAACTTACAACGAATATAACTTAAATATTTTCTAACCGTTTCTAAAATATCTACAGCAAGGAACCGACTTTGCAAGGCTGTAGTACAGCAAACAATAATTTTCACAAGAAGCTGAACCGTGTTCGTTCGCTCACTTGTAATCAGCTCCGCTGATCCGCGAGTATATGATCATGAACTAATTTTCACTAGCAATGCAGCATAAACGGGTAACAACAGTGTGTACTTCATTGCGTAGATGTAAGCACAAGCATAGAGTCACAATCATTTCTTTCTTGTTGCCACCTGCTAATGTGCCCGTTTTTTCTTAAATATTAGCCTGTTCCGACACGCGCGCCCGTTCTTTCTTGGGCCCACTACTTCCAAGCGCCTGCTACGTATATATACGCAGGCTACTTAAATATCGGTACACTTGTCTTGCTAGCAAGGTAAGCAGTATATATCAAACGTAAGTGCAAGGCGAAGAGAGATCAATAGCCTGCAGTTAAGCCAAACAAGACAAAGTATCTCACGACACGATCACCGGTTGATTTTAAATGGATGGCAGAGGCGAAACCAGACCTTCAGATAAGGGGGGCGGCGGTCATCCAGACCCTGAGATAAGGAGGGGAGGGTCGGTCTCAAAACATTTTTTTTCGGTCCTTCGGGTCTCAGTTTGGTCTAAACATAAGGGGGGGGCCCGGGCCCCCGGGTCCCCGGGCCCCTCCCCTGGATCCGCCAATGGATCAGTAAGTGTAACAACTGAGGTAAAATTGACTTCTTTCGAACAGTAACTCACTACAGCTAATTAATGTATGATTAGGCATCAAAAAGGCATCAGTCGTTGTGCTAAGTTTACTTCACGTTTTTTCTATATATCAAGAGAAGATTGAAGACTTTTTTACTCCTATTGCATTCTGTGTTTTCTTCTTCAAAACAGGATAGACTGTCCACAACCTTTTTGTATTACATTTTCTCAGCACTTATGGGAAGGAAAGAGAGTCTAGAGGAAGGCAGAAGGGTTACCTGCGTTCCACTGACATAGGGGAATATTGTTTGTGGGTTTAGGAGATTTTAGGAATGAATGGATCGCTAGACACAGACGGGAACAAAAAATGCAAGTCACGTTTACATGCAAGTTTGTTATCTATTTTCTTATTGTTGTGTACGCTTTAACTTGAGTCACATTATTTTTAATGTTTCCTTTTTTAGCACTCACTATGGAGCCGTCTGCGTTCAATTTTCGATACGATTCTGAGTGATGACAAATTATAGAAACTATTATGAATCTCGTTCCCAAGTTCGCGTCCTTTTAACCGCGCAAATTCAATTATAAATATGACATACTTTAAATTGTCAATACATGTATTAAATGATTTTGAATCTTAATCCATCTGATGACGGTCATGATGCTGTTGCTGATTGTAAATTGAAGACGATGGCTTTACTAACGTATGATGAAATGTCTCTTTTGTATATGGCAAACAGTCGAACCCTGCTTTACAGCGGGACACCCGCTTGATACTACAACTCGATCGTTATCTCGGTGGACAGTTTGCTTTGCATGTCTTCTGGGGAAAAAGCCTTGACATTTTCTCCAGCTCAATTCAACCCGCCTAAGACGAACATCCCGTTAATACAGACACCTTCTATGGCCAACTCAATGTCCGTATCAGCAGGATTTGACTATGATATTTTTCATCTTTCTAACATCACATAAGACATTTTAGTAATAAGATATGCTTCGTTATTTACACGTAAACGTAAATTGATCACGTATTCTATAACCGAGACCAATCATGCAGTACAAGCTGCTACAAGACCATAATTAAAGCCGCAGTGTTTGCTGGTTGTCACTTACGGTTGTCACCTCATCGTTGTTTTTTTACCTTGAATGACATTAAATGGAACACATTAAAGACATATTTCCTTTTTAATGACATGGCGTAATTTGCAAATTTGCTGAGTAAGTAGCCAACAACATTTACAAGATTTAATAAGCGATAGAATTATGAGCGATTGACGTCTTCTGCGACCCACGTCAAAGTTTCATAATTTCAGCAAATTGATTTCAATTTGGATAAAAATGATATCGGCTTTTTCAATTTACTTTTTTACTTGCGTGCTGGACTGATACACCTGATATAAGTAGTAAATAGAAGTAAACACGAGTCACGTACGGGCTGCTAAGCACGCAACATTAGACGTGTTGGAATCTGCCACTAGGCGCAGAAAGGAAAAGTGGTGGATGACAAATAGCGGTATCTCATTATTTTATTACAATACGTGTCCTGTGTTGTGCGAATCTCCTTTTACCTAAGACAGGAGTATATGACCTTAAGTGTGGACTAGATAAAAAATTATGAACGCTCAAAGTGTTTCTTTTCATTTCCGTTAAAATTTGCACCTGTAAGAAATATAAAAGATAGACTGACATCGTGACAGTATAAACTTCGACGTTCCATCGACTTAGTTTCCGAATATTACACTCTTATGAACAGACAGCATACCAGATGCTGTATTTAACCAGAATGAGAAATTTCCATATGAGAAATGCAAGACCGTGAAAAAAGAGTTAGGTAGTGGACTGGAAATGAGGAAGAAGAGGCACCCCTGAGTAATTTATATTTCATGAACTTTTTATTCTTTTCATCATGTATTTTCACTTTGCCCATAACACACCCTGTTTAACCTTATAAATTTTTACATAACCATTGATTCCAATTTCCTTTTGGTGTTGCACTCGTCCCAAAAGAAATTGGAGAACATGGATAAGCCGTTAAAGCTTTAAATTGACCCTGAGGACCCCGGGCCTATGGAACTAACGGATCAGCTACAGGTAGTCGTAAAAGAATAAATACATTGATCACGACAGCCTATATTTTCTTCCCAAAAAGAAATGGGGTAAACTTTTTGATTTTACAAACGGGCTTTACGTTTACTCTACTCAATAGATCATTTTTGATGTATTAAAATTCATACTTGGCTCCGCGGCTTGGGTAGCCTGCGTAGCAGGCGCTTGGAAGTAGTGGGCCCAAGAAAAAACGGGCGATTTTCGGGCGCCTTCCGTGCAGGCGCTCCCTCACCCCTTGCGTGTCTCCCTCGCGCGCGCCCGTTCTCTCTTTCGCCCGCTACTTCCAAGCGCCTGCTACGCAGGCTACGGCTTGGGGGATAAAACAAAAGAAATGTATTATTCATTGCTCAATTAGTACTCAGCGTGAAATCTTAGTACTCAGCGTGATATCCAAAAAGCCTTAATGGTTTTTAAATCTCTTAATGGCCTTGCTCCTGAGTACCTAAGCTCGAAATTTATTGCTCGATCCAAAACCACTTCATACACTTTTCGAGATTCTGTAAATAAATTAACTATTCCACAGCAACGCACTAATTATCTCCGTAATAGTTTTCGCTACAGTGGTGCTGTTCTGAGGAATAGTCTTCCTGAAACTTTAAGGCAAGCAGAATCCCTAAGTAAGGCACGGCATTCACGGAAAACAGGCTTTTTTTTTGCTTTTTTTTTTCGTATATACTTGGTTGCATAATTTTAATATTCCATTTCGCAAAACCCAGGAAATGTTTTTATTTTAATTTTTATATTTCATGCCTGATGAATCTGTACAACCGTGGATAAATAAAGATTACTTACTTACTTATTTGTGATAAACCTGAAAAACATGACCAGAAGCACAACAACCACCCGCTGACCAGCTGAGCCGTAACCAGAACCAACTAGCCAAACGATTGTTCACCTAGCCGTCATACGGAGGTTAACCTTGAGATATGATGACTGATAAAACCTTAAGCTTTGATACAGCCACACCGCATTTATTCATTTATAAAAATTGCAAATATTCCATGTTAGGGCTTCCAAAAATACTTTGCCCTTTCATAGTTTGTTCTTATAGGATGCCTTAGTACAATAACCCTGTTTATTCATTGGGCACCGAGATTGACAGCCAATCAGAGCGCATGATTATACATCATTAGAATTAGATCGAGTGTAGCCAATCAGAGCAATCAGGGAGCATTCACAGGGCACGATATTGTAGCAGATGGATGGTCTAAAGAGCAAAATAGAGAGGAGAAGTGTGACGCCATGTTACCATGGTTGCAAAATTTCTTGCTTTTAACAATCTTTCTTGACATTTCATTGTCGAACGATGGAAGACAATGGGCCACCGTCGTGTTCCTAAGTGCAATCATGCAAAGCAAAGTCATAAATATTATTGCTTTCGTTTTTTTCTGCCATATATGCAAGACCACGGCTCGTTGAGATCCAGAAATTTTGCTACTATGGCAACGTGACGTAACAACTTCTCCACTGTATTACCAGTGTGCACGTCATGGGTCATGAGTATCAATACGCACTGTCAATAACATAATTACCGCTGATGTCATGGTAACGATATCTTCAATATCAAGGTCATCCCACAATTAAAGTAAAACAGATCAGTAACGACCTTAACCTTTCTAGTTTCCTTATGGTATCGAAATAAGAAGTACGCAAACTAACAATAAGGCTATAACGCTTCTTCTCAAAAAAACAACACGGCTCCTATATTTCAAAGCCGTGTCTCCGCATACATGTCCTCCTCGATTTCGAAAAGAATTTGCTCATCTTCACCCCTTGCCATTTCTATTCTCAGTTTTAAATCCATGATTTCCTCAAAAAGATGTTCGAATTGTTCCGTTAGCAGGAAACGTTCATTCTGCATAGCTGTTAACTCGCACTTTATCCACTGTATACTGTGCCCAATATTACGAATTCTTTCTTTCTTAGCCGTATCCTGGACTGTTGCCATCTTGCCGCCATTAACGTCGTTGATATTTGCAGATGAATTCTCTCTTTGCTTTTCCTTGTCAATTGTGGATGAGAAGATTCCATCGAAGGCACTTGTCATAGACACTGTCTTTGCGTCTTCGTTTTTCTTGACAATGATATGAGGATCTGTAGGTTTTTCAAGCTCAGAATCTTGTTTCCCAACTGCTTGCTGTGGTAGTTGTTTTGTTGTTGAAACAGTTGGAATCTTAGCATCAGAAATTTCAATGCAACAGTCTATTTCCGGTACTGGAGTAGAGAGGGTACCACCTTCTGGAGTGAAGTCTTGAAACGGTAATTTCTCCCCAACGATGTTATTGTTTATATTGCTCGCACGCTTCATGGCATTTTTGGTGGCCGAAAAGGTAAAAGGATTGTTGTTAACGTTCCTTGTGGTATTGTCATTAAAATGATGAACGTAACCATCAGGAAATATGTATTCTTCCTTATCTAACGCTTGCTCTTGTGACGTGGGAACCGCGATAGCCATTTCAGTTTCGACACTGTAATAGTGAATATAACTGGGTTACTTGAAAATAAACGATTTTTAAAGGTTTTCCATACCAGGAAAAATGTCAATAATATTTCCTATGTCGCTTTGTTGTTTGTTCGTTGAGGATCACCGTTGAGCTCACAAGTGGTTAATCAACAGCCTAATGAACGTCTTTCCGGTAGGACCGGCTACTATGTACTAATAATCCTATTATTGTTGTCATCGCCGGCAATTCATCATATGACATTCTGGAATGCACGCGATTTTTGAACGATGACTGATCAAATTCTCAAGTCACGCTATAGAGGCGGACGACGGCCACCTGTTCTAGTCAAAATAAAACACGATTGTTTTTAGAAAGGTGCGAATCACTTGAAATGGCTTAAGAAAGTCATATAACGTGAAAAGGAAATTGAGTAGAATTCTCTCTTTATCAAAAAGCGGGTTAGTTTTCGAATCTGTGCGAGCAACCAGTGTAGCCACGAGAGACTGCGAGTTTTTTCCTGTTCTTTATTTTTTCATGTTTTGCGTTGCGTAAAGTTAGTTTAATTAGTGCCTTTGTTATCGCACTTGGAGTAGTCTTTTGTTAGCCTTTTTCATATGCCTATTCTTTCTGTATTCTAGTCTCGGCGTTGCGTCACGTAATTGTTATTGTCAATTTTTGTAAGTTCGTTAGGTTCATTATTTTCAGTCCAGTTTAGTATAAAGTCTTATTTTTGGTTCATGTAAATCAGTCGCTTAGTTGTATCCGGAGTTGCCGTACAGATCTTGTAAGTATAGTTTTTTCTGTAATTTTTGCTCGTTTTCTTAGTCATTTGTTGTACTTTAAGTTATCGTTTTTGTAAGGCTTTCGGTCCGCGTTTATTAATTCTGTATTTTCTTTTTTCTTTGCTGTAATTGTTCTGGTGAATCGAGAAGTAAAAGTCGAAACTGTACGAGAGTGTTCTTTACAACCAGGATCATAGGTTGCCTAACGGCCCTAACCCCATGTGGTGTACCTGTGTACTGGACTGCATTACTAAACCCTTGACATGATTAGCGGTAAATCTATACGCATGTATAGGTTTTCATCGCTGCATGGGTGGGGTGTAGACTACGAGTACGCTCAAGGATAGCAGAGCGAGCAAAACGCGAGCGCACGTGAAAATCACTCAACACTCATTTTTCTCTCTCCCCGCCGCGTCTCGCCTTTCTCGCGTGGGGTGATTTTCACGCTCGCTCGCGTTTCGCTCGGTCTGCTATCCCTGAGGGAAAATGAGGGACTACTCGTTGTCTAGGTGGGGTGCCAGTATACGGGTCTCTTTTAAGACTTGGTGTAAAAGTAACTAAAGCTCCGAGAGTCACTCGTTGTTTTATTTATCTCATTTACTCATTCGTTTCCATTTGCGTGTTTTGTTTAGCGCGTTCCAACAGTTCGTTGGTTTTTTGTAAATCAGGATTATTAGTCTCCCACCCGCGCGGGGCTTGGGGCGAAGTACAAAGAATCAAGATGGCGTCTACTGAACACAACACAACTTTTACGTGACTCTAACGCAGTTTGTGGCTTGATTTTTAGAAGATGTACGTGTTCAATGTCTACTTCACCTGTTTATTTGTTTTTATTTTTTCATATAAGGAAATTTCAGCGGAGCAAGACCGAGTGTTTGACCAGTTTCAACGGCCGAATGTTACAAATGTAGTTTTGATTGGTGCCACGGGTGACTTGGCGAAGAAATATTTATGGAATGGCTTTTTCAAGCTGTTTAGACAGGAAAGGAGAGAAAAAAACACTTTTAGATTCTACGCTGCCGCTCGTGACGACTTTAACATTGGTAAAATGAAGATTGATACCATCTTAGATGACTGTTTAAAATGCCCTGCGAACGACTCTAGCTGTGCTGACGAGAAGAGCGCTTTTGTCAGTGTCACGCAATATCATCGTTTAAAAGCGGAAAACGACTACAAGTCTTTGTGCCTTAAGCTCTCAGAAAATGTGAGCCCAGACGAGAGGGAAGGAGGTCGTTTGTTCTATTTGTCAGTGCCCCCATTTGCATACTCGCAGATTGCACAGAGAATCCACTCTTTCTGCCGCCATGGAGATAAGCACACCTGGACTCGACTTGTGCTAGAAAAACCTTTCGGCTCGGACTTAAAATCTGCCCAGGAGCTGGCTAAAAATCTGTCCAATTATTTCAATGAAAATGAAATATATCGCATTGATCACTATGTGGGAAAAACAGGAGTGATGCAGATCTTGGATTTTCGCTTTGACAACCGTGAACAGTATAAAGATGTTTGGAATAGAGATCACATTGAGAGAGTGGAGATTGTTTTGAAGGAAAGGAGCGACTGCAAAGGAAGAACAAACTTTTATGACAGCTACGGTGTCATCCGTGATGTCATGCAAAATCACATGACTGAACTCATTGTCATGGTTGCTATGGAGTTACCAAACAGTCTTAGTAATAAAACAAGCATTATGCAAAACAAGCTAAGGCTTTTAAAAGAAATCAAGCCAATGAATAGATGGAGTGCAGTTACTGGTCAGTATAAAGAGTACAATAAGCACTGCCATCTTGACAAAGGGCAAGATGAAACAGTCGCCCCTCACAGCCGAAGCAACACACCTACTTTTGCTTCTGTGTCTGTCTTCATAAATAATGCACGCTGGCATGGTGTGCCTTTTGTGTTGGTGTCTGGAAAGCAGCTTGATGAGAGAACAGCTTATGTACGGGTAGTATTCAAAAGCAATATCCATAAAGTACACTCTGCTTCAAGTAAGGCTGAAAAATGTGACGTCAGACAGATTGTGTTCCATATTCAAGGAGAGCACATCCAAAAACCAGCAATTCTTATTTCAGGAATTCTTCCCAAACCTGTATCTTTTCAGCCACTGAAAGCTCCAGAGAAGAAACCTGTTGTCCTTTTTGGTTGTTCAATGGAGGATTTTTATGCTTTAAATCAGAAACACTCTGTTGATGCTTACACAACTCTTATATCAGCTGTCTATCATGAACAGCAAAACTTATTTGTTGGAACAGAAGACCTTTTGACTTCCTGGAAAGTCTGGACACATTTGCTAGATAGTTTGAACAATACAATTCCCCAACAATATGTCCCGGAAAACTTGGAGGTGCTAGAATTTACTACACTGGGTGAACGGCTTGAGTTTTCATGGAAAAATGACAAGGGAACTTGTGATAATGATGGAATCTGTAAGTCAGCTGGGAAGACAATTGACCATTACAGACCTGAGTTGTTTAGAAATAATCACCTAGAAACTGGAACATGCTTGAAGGTTATAAAGAATCTAGCCATCAGTATAACTGAACATGCCCTTAGAGCTGTTTCAATGAGTGGAATATTTCACTTAGCTTTACCAGGAGGTACCTCTCCTGTAATGTTGTTTGAATCTCTGGCTTTCAGTGTCAAGGAATTTCCATGGCAACACACCCATATATGGCTAGTGGATGAACGATGTGTCCCACCAACCAGCAAGGATTCAAATTTTAATTTGATTTATGAGAAACTCTTCAAACATATTCCTGTTTCTCCTTTCAATATTCACCCAATGTATGTCATGTTGAAGAGTGGATTATGTGACGTAAACGACAATGGTGCTGAACACTATGAGGCAGAATTGAGGAGGTCTGTAGCCAACGGCCAGTTAGATTTTGTGGTTCTCGGTATTGGCTCAGATGGACATACAGCTTCTTTGTTTCCACATCAGACAGTTCTTAATAAAACTGACAAATGGATCAGTTTAACAGAAACTGGCTATGACCATGGGGTAAATCAGAGAATGACCATGACCTTGAGCTTACTTAACAAAGCTAAAACAATAGCTGTTCTTGTCGTGGGTAATAAAAAGCAGAATGTAGTTAAGGAAATATCAAGCGGTGAAGTCGATATATGGAATTACCCGGTAACTGGAATTCACCCAGATACAGGAGACATGACTTGGTATATTGATAATGAAGCCTTAGGCTTGAAGTAAATCCAAAGTATTAACCCTTGTACCTTCAAAGCCTTGGTCTAAGTTGTAAAATATTAGAAAAATATGTACTCGAGATGTTTTAATTTTTCCTGTGGGTAAAACATGAGTCATGATAAAAGTTCCAGTCTCTGGTTTTGTTTTTGTTGTTGTTGTTGTTGTTTTCGGCTTACAATTGTTTATTGTCTAGCTTGTGAAGAAAATTACAAAGGGAAGGAAGGTTGTACCATACTTGTTATTTTTTCCTTATAATCTCCAATTAACTGCTGCATTCTTCCGATCTCTAATAATAATCGCTAATACAAGTATAATTCATAATATTGAAAATAACTGATCTACAAATAAATGGATCAGTATTTCTAAAAGGAAACACCATTTTTAACTGATGTCTACGTCTTTAAAGAAGTTCCATGTGACAATGATTTTATCAAGGAACAAGAAAACATAACATGACATTTGTTTCCAACTTCATTAGCTTAACAAATTCCTTAAAGTATTTAGAGGCTAAGTAATGTACAGTACATCTCCCAACTTCAATATGAAGTCAATAACTACCTAAACCAAATTTATTATTTATTTTAATACAGGAAATCATTTTATTCTGTTATTTAATAATCCCCGATGTTTCCATGTAACACTGTCTAAAGAGATGAGTATCCCAGCCACAAACTTGGGAGAGAAAAAAACCTATTGTGGTGGGGAACAAGAATAGAGAGGGTGTAAAAAGGATATAAAATTTATCCCATTCTTCACCAACCTGGTTTTGTGGCTGATGATATGCCTCAGCACCCAGATCATCTGGGTCCACTTAAGCTTAAGCTTATACACTGGGAAACCTTGAAGGTTCTGTTTCCCTGTTCAACTCAAAGCAAAGCCCATTTGGTCATGTTTTGAACCATTTGATAATCGCTGGTAAAACAAAAAAAGCGAATTCAGAATACTTTTAATCAGAGGAGTCCATATAACAAAAAGATTATTAGAATTCTAAAAGATCACCTCACGATGAATCTAAGCAACCCTCAGAGGCGGAAGCCAAAAGTGACTTCTTCAATATACAAGCTCCAAGTTAAAGCAGATCATAGACTGTTCACAGTCCCCTATTTTTTCGTGAGATCGTTTAGATATACCACGTCTTACCGTCACGGCCATCTTGATTTTCAAATGTACCGAGGGGGCGGGCGTCGGGGATTATAGCTCGGGGGAGGGAGGGAAGGCGAGAAAAATACCGCCCCCTAGGTAGTTGTGACACTCATGCCAGATGGGTAGCCCGTAACGCAAAGCTCTCGATCCTCGATGATCTTAAGGAAAAATAGAGGACTGTGAACAGTCTAATGCACCTATTAATGTTCTGGATGTTTAAGAAGCGCTGACATCGGTCAATAAAAAAGAAATACAAATACACAAGCGAAAAACCTGACCGAGTCCACGTGCGCCTGGAGTCCACAGCACCTCACCCTCGTCGCAGGGTTCTCAGCGTGTGTAATGCTGTGGTACGCGGTGGTGAGTGACGCGACGGGTCTGAGTGGCGCGTCGTAATTGCAGGCAGAGCATGAGGTCAATCAAGGTTGTCAGAAGATTTGTTAGGCAAATTGTCGATCATATATGGCGTTTAAAACAAGGGAGAAATTTAGCAAGAATATACGTCTTTATCACCCTAACCTGAGATCAGGCCCAATTAAAGCGGTTCTCATACATTCTCTCTAACAGCTACCGCCAAAATGTTATTTACAAAGCGAAACGAAAAGAGAGCCTGATCTCAAGTTATTATCACCCATTCATCCATAAGGGATGATGGCGTGACCATTGACTAGCCTCCCACGCAGGCGTTTTTAGGGGAGCTCGTTTTTCATCCCTCCCTACTAAAACGAGCTCCCCTAAAAACGCCTGCGTGGGAGGCTAACCATTGACAGGCCAGGCAGACGGAAGGGTTCCTGGAGTTCTGGACATATACCCCCGTAAAAAGTGCATCCGTTCATAGTCCTACTGTCACGATTGTGTCTCTAGTTTTTTCAGTGAATGGATAAAATTCAATTAAAGTTTAACATTGAGGCATAGACGATAGAGACTTTTAGATTCTAAGACAAGTACGACTACAAGTGACTAGGAGATTTTCTCTATACTAATTACTAAGTAGTGTACGCGTGTGGGTCACACGCGTAAGCCAGCGTCATTTTGGCGGGAAAATGTGGTAGCCGTCGGCGCGAATGTCGTGGTGGCGAAACAAAATAATGCTGACTTTTCAGGAGCACCCAACGAGAATATAGTTCAAAACCACTTAAACATAGCAAACGTATTTTAGTATTTAAACGGTAGATATAGACATATTTTTATCTCCTAAAAATTTTTCATCTGTTCGGATTTCCTAGCTGAAAGCCTAGTGATCCGAAAATTATAGGGATCAAAACTTACCTTTTCGAAAATTTCAGCCAGAAAAAAGGCTCCCGAAATTCTAGGTGACCTTTTTAGGGTAAAAATCCGTTAAAAAAGGCAATTATACGATTTTTTTGATGTTCGAAAATCATAGGAGATGCAGGCAAGCAAGAAATTTTACAACAAATTTTCCGAAAATTCTAGATCTAAAATCGTCTTCCGAACAGATATTCTTCCGAAAATTGTCGTTGGGTGCTCCTGACTTTTCTGGCGAAAAATGGTAAAATGAAGCTTTCCAGGGAGTCTATATTTTGAGAAGACGTGAAAAAGCTAAGTCAAATCTCTTGCTCGTAGTCGTCCTCGTCCTTGAATCTAAAGGTCTCTAATACTTTACAGAACGTAACATGATGGTACATAACAACTTTACTCAAGTATAGATGTGTCAGATAAATTAATACAGCCGTTCTCTTTGTCCATACAGTCTCCAGTGGTCTGATAATGTCAAGACGGAAAGGAGATTCAAGAAAGGAGAGTCTTTGGAGTATTCTTACAAGGCCATTTTAAAAGGTTTAAAAAGATCAAAGGAAGTCTGGTGCGAAAAAATAATTCCTCTAAATTCTACGGTTATATAGGGATGAAGAAAATTATCAATAAGTTACCGTAAATCCTCTATTAAGCTCCTCCTCTCAAATTAACCCCCCTACTCTAATAAGCCCCCCTTTTCAGAGGAGGAAAGTTAATAAGCACACCTTTCTCCGTATTAAGCACCCCCTCCCCCTTCCGCTCCCCTCCATCCCTATTCTTCAAAAACAATTAACGTGGACTGATCAGTTGTGGTTCATGTTGGTCTTCAGCCCCCTGACCTCCAATTTCCTGTGCTTAACTTTTTCAACTTAACGCTCTAGTTCTTTGTGGAGAATTTTCAACATTTTCTTATGGTTAGAAAAGTACAAAAGCGGTATAACGCCCGAGGACCACCAGTCTTTCCTCGAGAAACCTTGCTCCCGTTGATGCGTTTCACTAAATTAAATAAGGCCCACCTCTCTATCACCCCCCCCAAAAGTGCTTCAAAAAACTAAGCCCCCGCATGGGGCTTAATAGAGGATTTACGGTATGCTTCATCACTGTGTTTCAATATAGAGTCCTTTTTCTCTGTCTAACAAGGCTCTGCTCTAAGGAAAATATTTTGTGAAATCCAAAGCTCTAATTCAGCCTTTTGAAAGCCAGGGTGCTAAGTATATGAGTCTCTCAAAAAACACAGATTTCCTGGTTGAACCAGAGTCAGAAAAGGGCTCACTATACAGTGCTGGATCCTGACTTTTCCAGACCTTGAGATGGGGGTGGGGAGGGGGGGGCTGCCATCCAGGACCCTTAGATAAGGGAGGTGGGCGATCTCCAAAAAAAATTTTTTCAGCCCTTCGGGTCTCAGTTTGGTCTAAGGGGGTGAGGGCGGGGCCCCTGATCCCCTCCCCTGGATCCGCCACTTGATAAAGCAGTTTTCTCCTTGTTTCTTCACTAACTGTTACCTTTCCAAGACAACCATGAAATAAAACCGCTGATAACATACAACAGTACAGTTTTCACCAGCTCATCCGCAGTCTCCCTACCATAAAACGACTGCCCCGCCAAAACTGCTAACACGACAAAAGAGCAACCACCACAAAACGTACCAAAACATATGAAGATGTGTTTTATGCACGGTCCACCGCATTGCCAATCTTCTAATTTAAAAATCTGGTAGAGTATAAAGGTTAACGCGAGGACGAAAATGCAGGCCATCAAACAAACGGCTAGTCCCCATACTGGATTAATCATAATTCCGATCACCAGCCAACAAAAATGGTAAACAGTAAGGGTTACAGAAAATCTTATGACAGCTTTTATACACGCGTTACATGAGTTATATTCACAACATGGGCATTTTTCGACGCACGTTAATACTATACCTTCTAAAATTAGCGGGCCGAGCGTTATATAAATGTGCTTCGGAGCATTTCCTAATATGGAAAATCTAAACACAAATACTAATATCACAATCTCAATGCAAAATAATATATGGAATAAACAGACAACAGATCTTATGATGCCGTTTTCTCCTGAGTCTGGAGACGCGCCTGATTGCGGAGGTTCTGAAGGGGAGTTTAATGGTAGTGCGGTCTCCGCGGTTGAAGCTTGGGAACGTTGTACACGAACACATTTACCCCAGCAATAGAGAGACTCATTATTTTCTCCCTTTAACACACCTATAATAACCTCGGCTATAAAAGGACCAGCCCAGAATGAAAATAAAAAAGCACACCATAAAATTGCTGTTATGTAGGAACTTCGCCGGGGTCCGGTAGCCATTATGTCTGTTTCATGTCCCTCTATAACGCACTCTACTGTGTTTAGTCTTGGATCCCGTATTCCTGGACTCACGGCCAGATCTTGAAGCTAAGGTGAAGAAACAAGTTTAAATTAGTTGAATAATAGCATTAAGGTCGTATTCCAGGCTATTCCTGTAATGTTTTATCGGAACATTCGTATCAGTAATATAATAAAACCGGAACTGGTTGAACAAGCTCTTTTTAGCACCTATACGGTTCTGATGAATTTGAATTGATGCACGTTTGCCAGTTTTAAATGTAAAACTTTTAAACAAAAAACATTAAACAACCAATATAACATCGGTGAACAATTTATGCTGGCCCTGGAAGAAATAACCAAAACTGAGCTGTGCAAGTTACATATTTGTGGTAAAGGGGCTATACGACTTTTTTTTTGTTAAACGGAAAAAGATCTGTACAGCCCCCGAAATGATCCCCACCCCGAAATGATCCCAAACCATGAAATGATCCCCAAATCGACCCCGAAATGATCCCCATTTAATTTTAGGAATGGAATGATATCCTAGAACTATGGATCGTGCAAAATGCGCACAACATTATAACTTAAGCTTTACTAATAATCTTTACTTGCCCACATGACATTAATTTGGGATTACACTTTGAACTGGATTAAACGCCGGAAAATATTATTATCAAAAAATACACAAAGTCTAGTATATTTTTAGGAACACCATGAACTGCAACTGATAATATCAAGAAACATAACATTTTTTTAAATTATTACTTAGGTGATAATAGCCCGGGTTATAGAGAAAACTGAAGAGATGTTAAATTCTAAAAATGATGTTAAAACTGCATGCCTTGGATATTGAATTTTAAAAATGGTGTTTTAACACTTTTTAAAATCTTAAAATGATGTTGAAGATGCAAAAGTATACATAAAGGCGATTAGATCACAAAAGCGCTAAAAAATCACATAAACTCTAGCGAAATGTTTAATTAACGTAAAAAAAAACACTGCAAATACCGTGTACGATCAATCTTGCTCAACGTCGGATCCAAAAAGATCGTGATCAGTCAAAATAGATCAAATTGAAAACGTCAAGAAGACTTTTGCAGAGACTGATCTGAATGTGAAATAGAGTTAAGTTGCGATATTTCGACTGGCCAATACCAGTCTTTATCAGGTTTATTGAGACATCACGAATTCACAGAAATATTTATGAAGTAAAATTATGACCGGAAATTACATAATATGACGTGGTTAGTTATCTAGGGTTTTTTGGGATGAGAGACGATTGGGGATTAGGTTGAGGCGCGTGCGGGGTCTCGTGGGAAGGGAAGAAGGAAAAATACTGTTCTTGACTGTAACGTTTTCAATTTGAAGCGAAATGTTAAACGCGATTTAAGAACGTAAACTCTGCAACAGATTTGTAATAATTCCGTGATGGAATACAAGTTCCATTCCAAGAATTAATTGGGGATCATTTCGGGGTCAACATGAAGAGAAATGGGGATCATTCCGGGATCATTTCAAGGTTGGGGATCATTTCGGGGTCGGGATCATTTCGGGGGCTAGAAGGCACATGTGTAATAATTGGACCCAAGTGTAATAAAGGTCCCATCTGTAATAACATTTGGACCCAAGCGTAATAAAAGTCTCGTCCGTAATAATGTAATAACATTTTGAGCCCAAGCGTAATAAAGGTCCTACCTGTAATAACATTTAGACTCAAGTGTAATAAAGGCCGTATTTGTAAAAGTTACCTTTATACTCAAAGTGGTAATATACCAACAACAAATTATGGCCAATAAAGGGTAAAGAGTGTAAAATCACGTGACCTGCGGAAACCAACCTCTGCCACATGGCTTTCACGTCACTGTCAAACTGAATTTTACACGTACAGTAGTAGTTTGGCTAGAAAAGTATTTACTATTAGATAAACGGAACTGGCCATTAAAAAAAAGGCCATTGTCACTTTGAACTATTAACCAAAGAAAATATGTGCTCAGTACTGCTTTACTGCGTTCTTACGAGAGTGTTTTTTGTTGTTGCGGGCGACAAGAGGAGCTTGCAATCCTAATGTCAAGGTTGTTATTACGCACGCATCGCATGTATGTAGTCAGCTTTCGTTTGGACTTCCACTAAGAATGAATGGAATGCACAGAACACAATTTGATCACGTGCGTTTGGACCTTCTATCACTCGTAATCCTATCACGCGTGTTTTGACCATCTGTCACGTGAAACGTACGCAACGCACAGCGCTGGAGCAAAACCTTCGATCGTTATCGCCCGCACTCCGTAACCTTTGGCTATTACTAGTTATAACGTAAAAATTCTTATGTTATCTTTATTCGGAGGTGTCTCTCACTATCTTTCAAGAGCTCCAAAATATCGCTGTATGATAAGCACCATAAGACTAGCTGAGAACAATGATACAGAGGCGCGTGACAATATTTTGCAAATTGGCCATCTTTTGGGTCGTAGTGGTGTCAGGTGAGAATTTCAATGTAAGAGCTCCAAAATGTCGCGCTAATTATAAGCAAAGTAAGACAAGCTGAAGACGGTCCAAATGTTATTACAGATAGGACCTTTATTACGCTTGGGTTCAAAATGTTATTACAGATGGGACCTCTACACTTGGGTCCAATCAGTCCAATTATTACACTTGTGCCTTCTACAGCTGTAAGGGCTGTACAGATCTCGAAAGTTTTACTGCCACTTCTGCAGTACGCTACAAATCGCAAACCTCGCCTTTGCAGAAATGTTGAAAGGAACTGAAGTTAAAAACATTGTGACAGCTACTGGTGGCGTAAGTGATTATATCCCCGGCGAAGATTTGTTCGTGTACAGACAGGACGGAATTATCAGTGGTCATCAATGCAGATGTCTGATAGAAAATCCATTTAGCCCAAAAACGTTTTTTTACAAATTTGTTAGTATATGACACACTATGTTGGTATATGACAAACACTAAATGTGAAATTACGTACCGCAGAGAGAACACCTTTCATGAGGTCGTTTTGTTCCTTGGTCGATGAAAAATTTCTACAGAAATAGGGGATGCAGATTTTCAGCTCTTGTGTGCGTGGTTCAACAAGAACTGAGCCAAGCGACAGGAGTTGGAGGACTTGCGGAGGAATAGCAACATATAAACAGTTTAAACTCCAAGTGTAATTTGCCACTGATGTTTCATTGTGTGTAATGAACTCTACTTTAACTACAAGTGATGATGGCATCGTTGCTGGATAAAGAGCTGATTCAATGTTGAAACTGTTCTCCTCTGATGCTAGTGATTTATAAATGTCAGCATAGCTGTCAATACAAGAAGTAAACTTGGGGCAATGCCTCGTCGCAGTTACTTTGGTGTGTCGGGCAAAACCAATGAACACAGCTTGAAGGAAAAGAAAGCCGCAGATTGACCGCATGGTAATTAAGCTCTTACCAATGGCTACAATTACCCCTATATATAAAGAAACGACAATTGAATGGTTTTAGATGACCGTAGTACAGGTAGTACGTTCAGTTGTGTTCAGTAAAGAAAAATTGTGAACGAAAGGTGTTTTGTTTGTTGGTTTGGTTGTTTTGTTGAAATACGGGAATTTGCCTCCTTTTTGTATGGAAAAATTTCAGTGATGCATAAGCTGTGCCAGCAAGGGCTTTGATGCCTTGGCGAGAGTGAGAGAGGGAAGCTGCGAAGACAATGAAAACTCCGGCAAGAAATCCTGCTCACACCTAGCAAGAAGCACCCTCCCAGGGGTACGGGGCAGCCTACTCCATAAAGTCTTATACGAAAATGTTTCGCCCCGAGGTCCAACCCCAGCCTACGTAGCAATCGTTTCGTGCAGTTCAGAAGCAAAGAATGAGGAACAAGAGTCAAAGATCGCGCGAAAAATGGCCCTCGTTTCATCTCTCGCGCGGCCAAAACCGAGAATCCCGTTCCTCGGTCTTCCATACTTGCGCCATTTTTCGCGTAGTCTTTGACTCTCCTTCCTTGTTCATTGCCCATAAACCGCACGGAAACGCTTGCTACGCAGTGTAGAAGAATCTCCAAACTAGAAAATCAGTTCCTTTGTGCTCAGAAACCGACTTCTTTTTAGCCTGCCTGCTTCCTCGCTCTTCGCCGCTGGGGACGTTTCGGGCCTCGGGGAGGGACTCGGCATATGAAAGGGGTGGGGATGCTCGCCGTCTCTCTTAGGGGTGTAAATTTCGGATTTTGGTCTTACTTAGGGTGTTCTAGGCAAAACGCCATCATATTTAGCCGTGAAGGTCTCGTTTAGGGTTGCACGTGAAAAAAAAAAGATATGTGTATTGTCTGTGTTTTAACATGATCTCTTTTAGGGGTCAAAAAAAGCTTGGGCTACGCCCAGATCGGTCTCTTTTAGGGGTTTATTAAATTCAAACTTTTCGGGCAGAGGAACGTCTGTGAGACTGTGACTCAGCGACAGAAATTCCACACTGATGACGTAAACTCTGTCTGGAATCCGGTCAGAAGCGCTGATTGGTCGGTGGAGTAGTTACATTGCTTTAGTTATTGTTTACGAATTACAGACAAAAGACAAAAGGCCACAAAGGTCAAATCTAAACGCAAAGAATCTATAACAAAACAGTCAATATTTGTGGAATATAGTCTTCTCTAGAAGAAGCATTTGAGTCTTGTGGGAGCTCGCTGGCAGATGAACACGACACTTTTCCAAAATCGACCATAATGACACCTAAAATTGGACAAAGTTATGTTGGGAACCCCATGATCTTAAAAAACTTGAAACTGAGATAAACGAAGAACTTTTCAAAGTATGCTCGTGGCTAGTTGTCAATAAATTAACCTTGAATATCAAAAAAACTAACTATATCATCTTTCATCCACGCCAAAAGACTATTCCTTTTCATCCTAATATCAAAATAATTAATAATAATTCAAATACCAGTCAACCGTTAGAAATGAAAAATTATATTAGATATCTTGGTATACTCATTGATTCGAACCTTTCATGGAAATTTCACATAGATTACGTTTGTCAAAAAGTCAGTAAAACAATCGGAATTATCGCCAAGCTCAGACATTTTGTTCCCCGTCATGTACTTCTCACCTTATACCGCTCTTTAATTTTGCCTTATATCAGTTATGGTATCTGTGCGTGGGGTCATGCTGCTGAAGCGCATCTTCATAAGCTACTGGTTCTCCAGAAGAGAGCCCTTAGGCTAATGTTCTTCGCTGAACCAAGAACTCATGCAGTTCCGTTGTTTTCAGAAACAAAACAGTTGCCGATATCGTTCTTGCTATTTGAGCAAATGAGCCTTTTAATGTACGACGTCCATAATAATCTCGCTCCTGATAACATTAAGAATATGTTCACGAAACTGTCTTCTGTCCACAGTTACCGGACTAGATCTGTTACTAATAAAAATTACTATGTTGAACAAGTTAGAAATGAAAATATGAAGCGAGCCTTCTCTATTTCCGGTGCTTTAATTTGGAACAGTATTCCACTTTCTATGAAAACACTTAAAAAATCAATTCAAAAGCGAACTAAAGAGAAAACTCTTTGAAATACTGGAAAAAGAGGACGACTATATTAGAGTTTCTGATACTACAGGGCAATTCTCAAAATCGTAACATGGTTTGCTTCCGTATGAAGTACAGTCTGCCTTCCTGTCTCACTCTGGCTATAAACCACACGACAAACTAGATTGCTTCTAGGATTGTTCGTTTAACATATATATATATATATATATATATTTATACAATTTTCCTTTTTCTCTTGTACCTGCCTCGAATAGCCTTCGCTAATTGCGGGTACAAGCTTTGTAAGCTATATTTAACTTGAAATAAACTTGTTGTTGTTGTTGTTGTTGTTGACTTCGGGATTTACTATGTAAACATTGATTTGCATCATTAGTATGGAATTTGTGTCGCTCAGTCGCAGACATTCCTCCTCGCGAAACGTCCCCAGCGGCGAAGAGCGAGGAGAAACGGATGTTTTCGCAGGCTAACTTCTTCTAGGCATTTCAAAACTTCCCTCGTCAAAATGAATTTTCTTGCTCGTCCTTTTAACCTGAGTATCAGGCCTGCCTTAGGGGTGAAGGGAGAGGAAATTTTAGGTGACGGAGCAGGGGAGGGGAATAGAGACTCAATAGAGACAGAACGGCAGTTTCTCTCGTTTCGCTCTCTCCCTTTTCGCTTTTCTCTTCGCCAGTTCCCACAGAAACACCTAATACTCAGGCTACAGTACTTTCCTCCAACTAAAAAGGCTACCACAGAGAGCCGTTAAATTTATCACGGAAGTCAAATGAGACGATTGCAGGGAGATTGCCTGCTGGGGCCGACATGAGCCGACCTCTAACACCACATTGGTCGGATTCCCGTAAATATCAGCTTATTTGATCAGCTCCAGGTAGTGTTGAGAATGATGTGGAAATGCTTAACTAGTAATGTTTGATCAATTTAAAATTCTGTGGCCATAAAGAAGCTTCTTTTCGTCATAACGAACATATTCGGGAACTGATTAGCGAGATTCATAAAACCGGAAGTAGAGTTTTCACTTCTTCTATCAAATTCCACCGCCTATCTGTGAGAGGAATGTTATTCTAGCAAGTATTATTCACAGTTGCGAGAGTGCATCTCGTTATGTTGTTGCATAAAGCTTCACTAGATCATACTTACAGAAAATCGAAGTTTCACTGAAATTCCACCGGCTCAAGCAGAGGATCGTGAATGGCGTGACTGTCTTCTTTCAAAAATTTGCGTATAAATCAATGACGTATTGGTTGCGATCCAAATACGGTGATCACACAATCAAGCTGTTTACTGGTTCCTTCGGTTCAACGAAAGACGAGCTGCTCGGGTAGCTACTACAGCTGCTACAGCTACTACAGGTATTGTTACGTCTACTAGGGCACAGCCACTACAGCACTGACAGCGGTGGGCGGTGGCCCGGGACATTTTGGGCAGTCTTACACCAAGTACTACCCAGCTGCTCTGAAAACGCTTGTGTGGGAGGTTATTCATAACGAAGTGGTAGCGGTGGAAGTATTTCCTAAATTTAAGAAAGGTAAGCTGAACTGTAGAACGTAACCTCTAAAACGTCTTTTATTATAGATTCCCTTTTTGAGGGTGGACCTTCTGTAGTTATCACAGATATACTTGCCTCGCAGTTGTAAATTTGCTGTTTTGTAATTTGGCAGAGCGCGGTGTCCATGATCACCTCAAATTCAGATCAGACCGTTTTTGGTTTTGTTAGGTTCAAGTCTCTGTGTTGATAGCCGTTTATTTGAGAAAGTGCTGAAGTGAATTTATTATGTCCCACTTCCCTCTTCCAATAATGACAGCGTGGAGTTGCTTCTGTTCCCGAGGATAACCATTTTCTTTTTCCGGTTGGTCTTGGAAAGTTCTCGTCAGTGACATATCCCATAATATTATTTTGTATCTTGTAGAGCTCATAATCTTTCCGAACTGCTGTAACGCAGCAAGAATAATTTAGGGGCCTACAATATATGAATTTCAGTGCTTTATCCATAGCTTAATAATAAGTTATTCAAAGGATATCTTCAGGGGTCTGTGAGGAATTAGCAAAAAGAAGCAGAATAAACTAACAATAGCAGTACAATGGGCAATTCCAGAAAATATCCATACCCAACCACGGACGGCTTCCATGTTTTCACCCCCCCTTGCCTTCGGAAATTCCAAAATGCGCTACCCCCCCATGCCCTCAGAATTCCATAGTCGTGAACCCCCCCTCCCCTTCAGAATTTCCGGGTTTTTTTAAAAGTACATTTTCGACTTAGCAACGCCTATAAGAACAAACGAACATGAATTTATGCCTCCTCAAGGCTGTGATCTAGCGGCACCAGGTGACAAGCTTTACTCTTCAGTGACAAGAAAAACCTACGCTAGTTGCCAGGCCGTGCAAACTCCTTTTTAAGTCCGAATTTGGCTATAAAAATAAACACCACTTAAGGTAATTTTACTCCTCTTTGTTTTCTTGTGCTGTTTTGACGTTTACAAAGGAAAATAGCTCAAACAGACTGTTAAAATCTTTTGGCGGTCAAATATACCGTCGAGTCGTGTTGCGTCCTTTTATACGTCATGTAGTGCGCACGAAAAGTGTTCTAATCTGACAGGCGTTCCTTGGAAGTGAGGGACTGGTGCGAGTTTTTTTACTGTGTTTCGGACGGGAGTAACAAGAAATTTGCAAGCGGTATTAAAAGATACATTTTCAGTTTTTATTCACGTGACAAGAAATTCATCAAGGTAAATGTGAAACCAACGTTTTACTGTTCACTTCTATAAGTTATGAGCGTAAACACGTGTCTGATCTATCGATGCTTGTCTTCTGCTTCCGCGGTCATACGTTCGTGGTTTATTTACGAACTACAAAAGTCCACAACAATAGCGTTTTCCAGGAACTTACTCTACACTTTCTACTCCAGAAATCCCACCTGTGGAATTCCCCATACCTTCGGTTTCAAATCGTAAATACCCCCCCATGCCTTCAGAATTCCATAATCGTGAATCCCCCCCCCTTCGGAAATCCTTAAAGCCGTCCGTGGTATGGTATGGATATTTTCTGGAATCGCCCAATGGCCCTGAGTAATGATTCTGACATCAATTTTGACATTTGAAAGAGTGCTATGGAATCTCGATCTGGATGGCCCAGACATATCAATTCATGAAATAGATTTTCCACTAATTATGAACTCTTATGATATTGTCGCTTAAAAGTTAGTTTTGTTGAGCTTGTTACAGTTGTGAGAGTAAACGCGTCTCTCTCTTTTAAACGCCTCCTATCTTTTAAATTCCCCCTCATGGACCACTAAAGTTACGTATTAAAATGACTCGGGCATCTATATTAGATCATTCACAGTACCTAAAACCCGTATCAAATTGAAGCTTAGTGAACTGGCTAATATCTTACAATGTACATTGTATATTATACCAACAATTTTCTTAAAACTTCACTTTTGGTTTTGTTATTGCTTTTTCAATGTCACTGTGAATGTCTGAATCAGCTTTCGAATGCTAATGCTCTGCCAGATAAGAGATTTTACCTCACATTTTTGTACCTTAAAACAGTTTTGGTGTTTCTAAAAACTGATCTTTAATCAAAAATTGACAAAACCCTGACATGTATTTTTGTTTTAGGGCTTTGACTTAAAGCTCTAGACTAGAAAAAATCAAATTAGTGAAAAACAAAGTTTGCTTTGATTTTTTATCTTTTAAAAGCTGATTTGAGCAATTGCATAAAAAAGTAGGACAGAACTGTCAACACTGTATATCAGTTAATTAAGTGTAGATCAGTAAAACTGTTTAACAGTAAAGAAATTTGTAAGTTTTTATGATAGCCATTCAATTAAGCTGTAATTTGATATAAGGTTAGGTATCGGCAGATTGTAACTAAAAATGGGTGACATCAGTACTATACTAGCTGCACTGCACAGACTAGACCGAATTCATAAGCCCAAAGGAGGTGTTAAATTGCGCTTTTGTAAACATATGCAAGGGTTTCAATTTCGCTATACTCGAAGAGTTGTTTTACATGTTTGACTACGGTTTTCACCAGCTACGGCCTAAGGTACAAATTCGAAAGTTTAAATCATTTGTTATTTGCACGGCCTATAGAACTGATGACGTGCCTCTGTCCTGTTTCGAAAATGATTTGCTTTTCTCGCTCAACTCTGCAATGTCATGAAATATTCCTGTTTTTATTCTTGCTGATGTCAATTGCAACATGCTTTGACCCGATGCAAAGGAGGCAAAAGTGCTACATGATTTTTGTGACTCCTTCAATCTCACACAGGTTATAAACAAGCCTAAAAAATTACTCAGTTCTTCAAGTCCATTATTGACGTTATTATTACTAAAAAAGCAAACTTGACAAAGGAAACACAAGTTATTCCACACTCAAATCAGTGACCATGAACTGATTATATTTGCAACTCTACAACTCAAGAAACCTCGTCCCAAATCTGTATACATTACCACAAGGAGCTTCAAGAATTACATCAAAGACACTTTCCTCAAGGACATTTCCAATGTTCCCTGGTTCATTCTAGACACTTTTGATAATGTGGAGGATTTTAGATCAACATGAGCCTCTGAACACTGTAAAACAGTCCGAACACGCCCAACTCCTTTCATTGATGACAATGTATGTGCGCTAATGAAAACAGGAGATCATTGGCAGAAGTTAGCAAGGCAGACAAATTAATGATCCTGCTCCCTAGTCTGGCTATTAAAATTTTAAATGAGAAGAAAAGCGAGAGCTACAGATTGCTCAAAGGAATTTCATCCAAGAATGTATATCACAGAATTCAAATGACACTAATGCAATGTGGGAGACAATTTTATTATAAGATTGTGTATCCCAAAGAAATCTGTAAGTGTAAGGGTTTACAGTGATGATGATAAAACTATTGCTAAATAGATTTAATCAATTTTTTTACTTCAGTTCGAGAAACAACATATGATAAAATCAAACAGCTCGCTAATGAGTGAGGTTATGCTCGAGCACAGCAAACCTGCAGCCCAGAATTTCCAAGAGCAGAGCAATTTATTTTTGCCGAAAAAGGCAGGCTGTACATTGTTCGGATGTTGAAAAGATTGTATCATCATTGTCTAGAAAAAAAGTGCCAGGTCTTGACAAGATATCGATTCATGTTATCAATATCTCTGCACCTGTTATTATTCCTTCTATTACTGCCATTATAAATTCTTCTTTTACTATCAGCACCTATTCTGGAGATTGGAAGATTGCTTAAGTGTCACCAATCTTGAAAAAGGATGATTTTGAAGAACCAGGCAACAATAGGCCAATTGCTTTGTTGTGTGTCTTCCCTAAGGTGTGCGAAAAGGCAGTCCTGAATCAGCTAACACCCTACCTAAAAACAAACAAATGGCTGGCAGTGGAACAGAACAGAAAAAAAAGTGGCACTCCACTGAAACTTCTCTTATTGTCTCTATTTTATGGACACTATGCTCGAGGTGGTCGACAAGAGAAAGCTAACAGCTATTATATTTATGTGGACATGAGCAAAGCGTTCAATAGCATCAATCACAGCATTTTTTTGCGAAAATGAAAAGCCGATGGGGCTGGCCCTTTCTGCAGTCTCCTGGTTTAACAGCTACTTGTCCCAAAGATCTTAAGTGGTAATGGCATTAATGCTGTGCTGTCTGATGCTCTACCAGCATGATGTGTGGAGACTGTCACAAAACAAGCAAAGCTATCATGTCAAAGTTTTTTAAAAACGGGTAGTTTTCAATGTGGTGCAATGGATGTAAAGTGATTTTATGAAAAGCATGTTTTACATAAATACGGAAATACTGATCACTAAGCGAATTTTAATATGCAACAATCGACAGGTCACAGAGGTAAAAAATTGTTTGTGTGTAAGTCACAGTAAAGACCATTGACTCTTGAAATTGCTCAAGAATTTTGGCCATGATACAAATGTACTTACAGTTTTTAGGCCATCGTGCGCTATGAGAATCATATCCGGCACTACAGGAATCGCATAGCACACAACGAAAATCGCGTAGCGCACAACGTGGTTCGTGTCTCGCAAGGAGGTGGTTACTTACTTTTGAGCAGCACTGTAGTATACTTGGAGCCATGTTATTCAGTATCTACGTAAACGACCTACCAGCAGTCAGTGAGATGTGCTCAACTTTGTGTAACATTGATGGCACAACAAAATTTTCTCCTTTGCATTAGAGGAATCTCATGCCTCCGAGGGTAAAATCGATGATTACCTA